TATATATATATAAGAAATTATATATTTATATGTAGGTTTGATTCGGATTCTTTTACCTCAATACCAAACCAAATCAAACCAAACCTAATCGGATTTTTTTAATCGAATTGGTTTGACTTTTCAGTTTGGTGCGATCTTCCGGTTCGATTTGTACACACTAAAGGTATGTATGTGTTACAAGCCAAAACCTTAGAGGAAGTCTCTAAAAATTATCCCTTATGCTTACAAAGAAATTTATTTAAATAAAAAGTATTTCGGATTTCGCGGAAAGGAACCCAAATCAAACTAGTTTCGTAGAAGTTGATGGAAAAATCTTGCCCCAATTGGTATTCCAAATTCTTTTAAAGTATTCCAAATTGTAGTCAAAATTGGAATATACTAATAAAAAATACCTATATATATGACCTCCAAGTCAAAATTATAAACAAAGGTTTTTGCCCTTTTTCTCCTTCCCTTAGAAGCCTATGGCGAACTGGGCAGAACTGCCCCACGAACTCCTTGTTCTGATTGCAAAGCATGTTAAAGTGATAGAAGATTTTATTGATTTTCGTGCTGTTTGTACCTCTTGGCGACCTGCTGCTACGAAGGAAAACTTTGATGTGTTTTCGTTCAAAGTTCCGTTGCTAATGCTGGCTGATAAAGACGATGATTATCGAGAATTTTACTCTCTTTCCAAAGGGAAAGTCTCACATATATTATATCTCCCAGAAGCTATAAGGCGAGAGTGTTTTCCATATGAGGAATGGCTGTTCACCATGTCATATTACGAAGAGTTTAACTTGTTGCATCCTTTTTCCCGTACCCAAATTCAACTTCTTTTGCAAAAAGCCTTATTGGCTTTACAGGGTTTCGTTGAAGTACCAAAAGAAGAAATCTATCACATCATCGACAGAGCTGTCTTATCTGTTAATCCTTCTCGTACATCAGATTATGTACTAGTGGTTTCCTATTGTACAAATGTTAATCATTTGACTTTTTGGCGACTGGAGATCTTAACTGGACCAAATTTGAAATTGAATATAGAGTTGGTGGAGTCTTTAATATGATTTACTATAAGGGTCAATTTATTTTTGTGACTTATGCCGGAGAAGTTTGTGTTTTTGATGTTCCAGGGCCTAGTATTTCTCAACCAATTGTCGAGTCACACCTATTTTGGCTTGACGATAATCCGAATCTGTTTCGCCAGAAGAAGTATTCAATCAACTTCTACCTAGTTGAGGTAGACGATAAACTTTTACTTGTTAACCGATTTGCCCTTCCTCGACGAGAACGAAATGAGCCTCCGAGAGAGGAAGGAGATGGTCCAAAGACATTTAAATTTGAAGTACATGAACTAGATGTAATCAATGGTAAAATGAAAAAGATTAATACCTTGGGAGATTTAGCTATTTTTTTGAGTGTTAATGGAGCAAGTTTCGTTGAGTCTTCTAAGTTTACTAGAGTCAAGCCTGATCACATATATTTTACTGATGATTGGCGTGAGGAAAATGCCGTATTGGAAGATGGTGGTGGAAGAGATATGTGTGCTTATAATCTTGAAGATGGATACGTTGAATCTTTTTATCCTGAATAGTCAGTAAGTCTTATTTGTCCGCCAACTTGGATCATACCATCATTCTAATGTGACTCAGATCATGAGGAGTTATTGTCTTCTTTCAGTTTGGTTATATTGTAATTTTTTTCCCAAACTCTATGTTTAAAATCCAGTTAGATTAATATTTCCCTTTCATTGTAGTCTTAGCTGATGTATGAATGTTTGAATATTTAATCAGTTTTATTTGTGGTTTCTCAAATATGAAGAACGCTCTATAAAGTCAAGCATCATTCGTTGACGGGGTCACTCTAACGCAGAGGGCCTTGAGAAGCCCAGCACTTCCGTAACTGATGTTTTTGTAGGTGATGGGGCATAGCGTACTCCGGTCTTCCTTAGCAATAATTTTGTTTTTGATGCCTGCCTTGATGAGTGGGAGAGATAGCCGAATTAGAATATCACTACGGACAAGGGCTGCATAGGAAATAGCGATCATACTAACTGCACTACCATGAATATCCTTCGTCCCTTATCTATGGAGAAATCGCCATCTTCATTAACAACTGTAATGAAAACTGCTGACTTTTCAGCTTAATTTCCATGTTATTTGTACCATTGTTACATATTGAGGGGGGGGGGGGGGGTACATAGGGAACCTTAGGCACCCATAGGGAAGGTTTTTTGTGTGGTGGGGGGGGGGGGGGGTGGGGGGGGGCTAGGGAAGCTAATGAAAAACAAAAGGCCCAAAAGAAGTTGGGCTAAATAGACCAATTACTAAAGCTAAATGGGCTTTAAGAAAACCACAAAATTAAACTCTAGAATCATTTCTAGGCTTTTGGGCCACCCCAGTGACAGATTTTTCAGCCATGACTAACTCTCCTTTGGTCTCTCTTTCTGCTATTTGTCTCTTAGTGGACTTGTAATATGTAGCATAAAGTAGCAATTGGGCCAGCCCAAGAACAGTTCCCATTGAATTTGGTGCCTAAAACAAAGTATAGGTATTAAAAGAATCAAAATAAGATTTGATAATAAGAGAAATGGATATTGGTTAATTGGAAAATTGAGAAGTAGAATAAATATTAACTACAAAAAACCAGGAATACAACAACAATAAACCCAGTGAATTTCGACAATTGAGGTCTGGGGAGGGTAAGATGTACGCAGCCTACCCCTACCTGGAAGGGCAGAGAGGCCGTTTCTAATAGAAACAAAAAAGCAGGCAACAGGCAAATTCTGTCGCTAAACAACGAAAATCCTTCAACGAAAATCCTTCTATTATAATATAGGTTACTTCGTGACAAATTAGAGATAATATTCGTAGCTAATTCTTTTTTTTTTTTTTTGTAATATAGGTTATTCTATATAAATTTATATGGTTGTTATGAATAACCTTTCGTTTTCTCATTGATACTTGGAAAAACTTAAAGATCTTTATTAGCTTAAAAAGATAAATTACAAACTAAGAAAGTTTTGATTTGGTGGTTAAGTTAGAGCTATCATACTAAAATTACTACTACTGTGACACCACAGAATCAATATAAAAAGTTGCCTTTTTTCTTTTTTAGAATGGTTGTTTATATAAGGAAAGAGTTATAAATGTAAAAAAGATTGTCATCTTGCCTATAGAGATGTTAAATGCCACAAATGTAAACCAAAGATAATCCAAATTCACAATTTTAAGTCAATGGTTTAGAGTAAGCTTTCACAACTAACTTGTGACAATTATTGGGAACTTATTTTATATGTATGTATTCATATGTACCCACTATTTATGAGCATACAATCCACTTTAAAAAAATTTAAAAAAAGCGACAAATTAAATTCAGTTTATTTTTGTATTACTTACAAGAATGTAGGCGTCGAAACGGATAAAAGCATAAGCAGTCCAACTAACACCATTGAGAAAAGAGAAAAGTGAAAGGAAGAAAGGCATGTACTCCACACTTTTGGTCTTGATCACCAATTTCTGCAATAACAACATGTAAAACTTTAGTTTAGAAATGCCATTTTCATGATTCTTTTTTTTCTTGTTTTTTCCCCTTTCTTTCTTAAACCAAATAACCAAAGAAAATATTGTATAATAATATAATTTTTCAGCAAAAAATGTTCATGCGATGCGACTATCCTTTATTGGCCGTAGCCGTAGCTACAGGCGGGGTTCACCTAACCCCTTCATGGAAAATAAAATTGTATATATAAGGCAAAATCTGATTTCTCTCTATAAATATATATATTAAATCCCCTTGACGAATCCAAAAAGCATAGCTTAGTGGTTAAGGGGTTCAAAATCTTTATTATGTCACTGGCCATATTTTTTTTAATATTTAACTTTTTTCTTTTTTAAAACCCTCTTAGCAGAAATCCTATCGCCGCTGTAGCTCCACCATAGTGACAAGTTTTGGAACATGCAAGAATAAAGTTGTATGATGCCCGGACTGTTCAAAAATTATGCCACACCCTTGTAGGATCATCCAAAAAGTTGAAGTATCTGACACGCAACCGACAATATTTTTGAAGAGTCCCAGCAGTATATATAGGAAAAAAGAACAAAAAAAAGAAAGTAAGTATTTACCATGACAGCCAAAGGGGAAGCATACATCAAAATGTTGCCAACCATGCAAATGCTACCAACAATAGCAGCTCTTTTCTTGTTTCCATGGACAAAACTTAGAACACAAATTGCAAGTGTAGCAACAAAGATAATTTCACCAAGAATGACAAGAAAAACTTTTGTCCTTAGCTTACGATCAGAGTACAAGAAAAACAGCGTTAAGTACACGATCTCAATGCCAAGTCCAGTGCCATTAATTGTCACAACTAAGATGCTGTTTGGTTGTACCCAAGGGACACCGTACAACACCCAAAGCCCACAGTTGACAAATGTGGCAAGGTACGGTATAGGAGAAAATTGCTCCACTGACTTGTTTTTCCATATACGTATAAAAGTTGGCCTGTAATTAGTCAAATTAAAACAAAAAATTTATGAACAAATTAGTAATCTTCAAAATTTTCTCTCATGATAATCAGATAATTAAGCCACATATATAAGACCTATCTATGAGTTTAAAATCATGAATTTTAAGTCCTTCCTTTTTTATATAAACTCTATGCCGAGTCAAATAGACTCACGTAAAATAAAACGAAGGAACTTATATATATATATATATAAAAAAAAAAATTATTTACTAAACTAAATAAAGGAAAAATAAGGAGAAATAATGGAAATTGAAGCTTACAAGGGTGACAAGAACAAGATGAGTGCAATGACATTCCCTGAAAATAAAAATAGAAAAAATAGAAAAACCCCATCAGCTTTTCCTTTGAAAAAAAATTAAAACTAACAATTCTTCAACTCTGACTCTATGTTTGTGTGTGTGTGTCTTTTTTTGTGGTGACTTAAAATGTGAAGAACTAACCAATAACACCAACAGCAAAACGGGCAATATCTCTATTGAAAACCATAGCTAATAAGCAAATGAGAAAGAAAAGAGAAATGAAAGAAAATAAGAGATTTTGAGGAGTGATTTTGTGAAGTGAAGATGGTGAAAAGAGTGAAGATGGATTAACCTTATAAAGAGTGAAGAGAGAGGTTGAGTTTGGCCTTGTCCAAAAAATGAAAAACTCAACCATGCAAAGTCTCTGTCTTTGTATGACATGTATTGCTATATGATTGGTGAACAATACAAAATAAATTAAAAAGTAAAAAATAAAAAATGAAAAATAATTAGATTAAATGAAGGTTAAATGAAGAAAGAGAGAAAGAGGTAGAGAAGAAGTCTCTAGGCACTCCATTCAAGAATATAATTGTCAAAACACTAGTACTAGTAGTAGTAGCAGCAAATAAATAAATTTTTGAAATAGAGAGAATTAATTACTTTTGCATGGATTTTACTTTTAGCTTACACTGAATTCAAAGCTAAAAACTTATCCATTTATCCTTATCCATTTCAAGCTGGTAGGAGTTGCATTAGGAGTAATTGTTTCTCTGTTCCCTTCTTGGGTAGAGTTTTTCCTTTTCTCTTTTGCCACTTTTATCTTCTTTTTCTTTTCTATGGCTGAAGAGGGGAGAAGGGATTTGGCTAGGAGAATAAAGGGTAGATGGGTGTACTAAACTCCCGTTATGTGTGAAGTCGAAAAAATGATCGGATCATAAGAGTCTATTATACGTAGTTTTATTATCTTATATTTTTGCAAGAGACTGTTTTTACAACTTGAATCCGTAACCTCTTGGTCACATGGCATCAACTTTATCAATTACGCCAAGGTTTCCCTTCCCTATTTTCGACTATTTCGACTATGGGAATAGAGGCAGTGGCGGAGCCACATTGAAGCAAGGGGTGTCAAGTGACACCCCTTCGCCGGAAAATTACGTTATTTTGCTAGATAATTTTTTTAATTTTATGTATATTTACTATACATTGACTCCCCTTGACTTTTTGATGTATTTAATTATTTATATTTTGGTACCCCTTGATGAAAATTCTGGACCCGCCACTGAATAAAGGAAGAAAATTTAGCTTTGTACATTGATATTTTCTCCGGACCTCCAATTAGAAAATTAAGAATACATTACCCTCTCCGGTCCACAATAAGTGGTCATTTTACCTTTGAAAAACCCATTAAGAAAATACGAACTCCTAGAGAAAAAAAGATGTATTCACTAAATTAACCTTAATTAATTGTTATTTTGACACATTGAAATATGTAAATAAGAAAAAATTTTGGAAAAGTAAAATCAATTCCTTCTTGATTATGTAAATGGACACTTATTTTGGACAAAAATAAAAAAGGTAAAATAATCACTTATTATGAATCGGAAGAAGTAATTATTATTTTTCAAATTTATCATTGCTTCAATAAATGATCTAAAGAGTTCGAAAACAGATAGAGGTTGATTTAGTTAAATAAATTTATAATAAATACTAATTCTTTAATACTTGTATCTGAACCTTAACTAAATGACAAATAAAAAAATGCTCCAGTAAATTACACTATTAATATATTTTTATATTACAGAAGGTGATTTGTCTTATTTTTGGGATTATAATTAGGCCACTTATATAAACAGATATATTGTAGCTATTATAATAAAATTAAAAAAGAATTATACTATTAGCCATGGAAGTCAAAATAAGGGGGGTCCATGGAATTTTTTCGGACAGACAACGTAGTAATAGAAATTTCAGAGTTTATGTGTTGTTTGCTTGTCAAGGAAAATTGAGAATCTGAAAATGATAATGATCGATTGGACGTTTGCCATTGGTAACTGGTCAGTCATGTTAGGAACGTGAAATGCTTGAAATATATGTGAAGTAAAAACATGGAAAACTTGATATATCAAACTTGTAAAGGTGGTTGGTATCATGTGTCACAAATCATTGACATGATAGTGTATTTTTTTCTTCTCTTTGCACTTTGTTTTTCAATTTTCTTTTGCACTTTTATGTCATTGCTTGTGTCACGACCTAAATTCATGGCACGTATTATCTGTTTAGGGCTTAGAGTTTAGGTTCGCATGAATTTATTTTTTGAGCTACGCTATCTTAAGTTCCAAAAGTACGTATGATAGGTTACAAGTACTTTGGGCATAAGTACTTCACTTTATGTTTTGATGATCTAACAAACTTACCATCCAGAAATAGATAAGGAACCTGTTACACATTTACAAGACATTGAGATCACAAAGTTCAAGGTTGGGATTCAGCGTGGGATATAACTCAACTCTTCAGAGTGGAAGGAACAGGTAAGGTAACAGGTTCCTATCAGTTCCTGAGGAGACTGTATGAAGTCGACTCTCCAGCAGGAAATTTGCTGCCTGCATGCGCTACTGTACAAGAACAGTGCAGCAGTCAACTTGCTATGGAAGGCTCTTTACCTACCTTGCTTACATAATTGTAAGTGATGTCACACACGTGTAAATACAATCAAGGAAGGTAAAACAACTTAGTTCATGAGAGAACCAGATAAAGGACCTGAAGCATGCCTGGTACAATCACTCAAGTTAATCGACTCAAGATAATCTGGGCAGTCTGCCTTTAGATTCACAAGAACCAGATTAGGGACCTGGTACCTTAGTGTTCCCTGACAGAAGTATGAGTCAACTACACAGCTGGAAAGCAACTGCAGAAAGTGACTGCCTGCAACTGTACACGCAACAGTGCAGCAGACAGTGCAACAGTCACTTCCTATTGAGAAGAAGCATGTACTAACCAAGATTTGACATCACCATTGTGAATTGACATCACCGTGGTAATGTCTTTTGTAGTATAAACCTAATGCAAGGCACAAGACATTCTTCGAACACTTGCAAATCAGAAAAGGAAATATTCTCTCTAGTGCTAGCAACAACCTCTCTCAAGAACAAAGCTGCTGCAACCTCAAGGACCGGATCCAAGATTGAAGATATCTTAAGTCCTTAGGTTTGTAGAGTCTTTGTTATTTGTTCTTCATTGTAACTCCTATCTTGCTTTCTTAGAAGCTGTTTTCAGGAAACCCAAAATCTATAAACTCTCTAGTTTATGTTGTGAGTAGGTTTTGTCATAAGTAAAAGTCTTTGTAATAGAGTTATTACAAAGTGGCTTGTAATAGTATTGTTACAAGTTAGTTGACTTTAAAGTCTTTGTTACTAGGAAGTGACAAAGTGGCTTGTGGTGAGAGCATCACAAGTTAGTTAAAGTCTTTGTAACTAGAAAGTCACAAAGTGGCTTGTGGTGAGAGTACCATAAGTTAGTTGAGTTGAATCCTTTGTAATAGAGTCATTACAAAGTGGCTTGTAATAGGTGTTTACAAGTTAGTGAAGTTGAAAGCCTACAAGTGTAGGTCGTGGTTTTTGTCCCATTGAGTGAGATTTTTCCACGTAAAAATCCTCTATGTTCTTTACTTACTGCCGAGCTACTGCGAGAACAATTAGAGAACCTGATTCTTTATGCTGGTTGATTTTACAGTCTGTTGCTTACAATGGGAACTCATAGAGAACTCGGTTCTCTATACAGTCTGGTGGACGCTTAGTTTCTAACAATTGGTATCAGAGCAGGTTCTTTCTAAAAGGTTAACACCTAGAAAGGATCTACATGGCTGCTCCACCAAACTTCAAGGAAAGTCAATCAACCAATAGACCACAAAGATTTCAGAAGACGGTTCGCAAAAATGGTGGGACCCCAAAGAAAGGAAGTTCCAGCAGGAATTTCAAAGGGAATGAGTGTTGTCATAAGTGTGGAAAGCCTGAACACTTCATTAAAGACTGTCGACTTCTGAAACAAGAGCATTACAAACACAACTCTGACAAAGTAGCAAAAAGGAACCCGGTTCCTAACAAACGATTCAGCCGAAAAGGTGCAGCTGACAATGTTGTGAAGCAAGCTCTTGCTGCATGGGAAGACTCCTCCAGTGAATCAGAAGAAGAACCAGATGTAGGAAGCAGCTCCATGATGGCAATGCAAAATGAAGATGATTCATTATTTGCATTGATGGTTTAGTCCGATGAGGATGAAGAGGATGACAATGATGAGGTAACTTTCAGGGATGTTCAGAGAAATCTGAAGTCCTACTCTTCGAAAAAATTGATGTCGTTAGCAAATGTTCTAATTGATACATATTACAGTTTTGTTAATGATAAAGATGCCCTAATCATAGAGCTAGGAGATGCTGAACAGTCTAGAGATGATTTGATGGTAGTGGTTGATGATTTGATGGTAGTGGTTGATGACTTGAAGGAAACCATAGAGAACCTTAGCAAAGAAAAGAATACTCTAGTAGAGAAAATTGCAGTTACTGAGCAAGAAAGGGATTATATGGTAGTTTCCATTGTAGATTTAAGGGAACAAGTGGAAGAAGTAACTAGAGAACACAACTTGTTGAAAAAACAAACAAAAAAATGGATGGACAACACTGAGGGAGAGGAAGTGGCTAGAAAGGCTCAACTTGAGCTTGAGAGTGAGCTTAAGAAAGTTAACACAAGTCTTGTTGCTGAGCTTAAAAAGAATAGACAACTTCAAGAGGATTTAAAAAGGGTTAAAATGATCTGGATAAGTCACTTAAATGGACCCGGCCCTCTGATGTAATAATGTCTATGTACAGGAGTAATGATGGAAACAGGCAAGGCATCGGGTTCCAAAAGGCTAAAACCTCCTATAATCCTCATAGGAAGTATGTAACTATGGCTGATAATAGATTGTGCACTCACTGTGGTCAAACTGGTCATTACAAGGACTCTTGTAAAGTTAAAAATCAGTCTTTGCAGAAAAACAAAGTCTTTGTTGAAAAAAGGCAACTGATGAGGAACCTGGTTCCCTGAAAAGAAAATATGTACTGCCTGCGTGGGCAAAAAGAAGTTTGATCCGCCCATTCTATCATTATAAGGGACCCAAGCTAGCTTGGGTTCCCAAGTCTAATCATTGACTTAAGTGTGCAGGGAACAGTGAAAGTGTGCAGTCAACAGTGGCACATGGATAGCGACTGCTCGAAGCTCATAACTGAAAATACAAATGATCTCCTTTCATTGAAGGCCCTGCAGGGAGGGAATGTATCCTATGGAAATGAAAGAAGGGGTACAT